GATGTAAAGAATGTGTGGTTAAAAAGTAAGAAGAATTTTTGAATTTATGTGTAATATTATTTTATTTGGAGAATGTGTGGTTAGAAATGAATACCGTAGAAAAATGAGAATGAGATAAAAAATGATGTAAAATGAAGGCTAATTATATTATTTTTTATGCCAGTGATGGTGCTGGTGGGTGGCAGTGTTTGCCTTTATTGAGGTCATTCATATTAAGTCAGCATTTTAATAATAATTTGCGGATACAGCCAAGAATTGTAGAGAGAGAATATGTAGCAATAGCCATAGATAATGGCAGTTTGAAGAGAGGGAACATGCCCAATTTCATCCCAACAATTGTGTTTCATTTGTTTCTTCGAGTCTTGGCAGCAGATCCCAGAGGTCCTTCTCCATCCTTTCCCTTTCACTGTGTATATATATGTGTATAGAAGGTTCTTCTTTTGTCCTCCCAATTCATGTCAAAATTCTGCAAATTTTGAAGGATTTCTGCAATCTTTTTTTCATTTTTACTGATCTTCGAGTTGTATGCATATACCCGTGATATGGGTTCGTGTTTTGAGTATTGATTTAGCTTATGTCTGATGGATGTGTATAGAGCTTCAGGTTCACATGGTAAGCTAGTGGAGAGTAAACTTCACTGTGAGGATAGGGATTGTGGGTTGTGAGTTTTGGCTTCTCATATCCAATCTGGACATTTTCATTTAAGACAGGAGTTTTTCTATGTAGTTTATGGTTCTTGAATGCATGTGTAGTTGGAGATAACAGCGTAGTGTTTCTGTTTGTGATAGCAGAAAAAAACTTTCTTATTGTGACTTAAGTTTCTTGGGTAGTGATTTTTTCTATGGTTTTGTGTGTGATAAGAGTGTGTTGTGAGTTTCTCTGTTTTTGTGAATCAAAAAGAGTTTTTCTTCTAAGAACCTCAGTGGGTGAGAAATGACACTTGTCTCCTCTTCAATTAATTTTTCATTTCTTTATTTTAGGAGACAGTGCTTAGACTTGCTATGCTATATGGTGCAGAGTGTTGGACTACTGAAGAAGACAATGTTCATAAGATGAACGAAACAGAAATGACAATGGGAAACATGATTTGGTGGTTGCAACATGTTTTGAACAGACCAAAACAGTTGACACAATCTTGACATCACAAGTTAGAAGAGGAAGGATAGGCTAAAACTAACATGGGATGTTGTAGTTGCTAAGAATCTAATTGCTTTAGATATTTTGGGAAAGATAATTCAAGTCAAATTTATTGATGAGAAGACTAAGACTGTTGTTATACTCTATTTAGGATGTTTAAGCTAACCATCAGGTTTTGAGTGGCTTGACAAGTTTAAGCTAACCACAGAGGACCATTTATTTAGGTAATCAGCTCTTGTTAGGTGGCACATACAATCAATTACATTTTAACCTTTTACAAGGAAATCTCACCAACCTCCATACTAATAGAATCATAGGGGTTGATTTTGTCCGTGCTTAGGCTCATCAATATTACTCTCAATTTTACTACTGCTACTGTCCATTAGTTTTTCAGTTGTAAATGTATTTTCGTTCAAGTAGCAAGTGGAAGTCCTGGTGTTAATGCTCTTTTGCTGTATAATCACTACTTCCGGATTTGATATATGTGAGTCGAAGCAAAGAGGCCAAATGCACAGGAATTTCTCAGGCAGTCTACCTTTTTATGCATTTGAAGTGGGTTGTTAGTTGATGGAGAAGGCATCGAGTCCACTGTTGTCTTGAAAGTTATTGTAGCAACGAACATAATTGCAGCTCCTTCCGCAGCGTCTGACTTAAAGTTTATCTTATCTACTAATTCTTCACGATATACGAACTTATTTTATGAAATACGGAGAAGGTTATCATATTGTCACTGAAGTTCATTTTGTTCAAAATGTTCACTTTATAAAATGTTTAAGTTACTTCACTCAGTTAGTATGCCATCCATTATTTAACCGAATAGTCTATGTGGCTTAGGGGAAATCTGACATGGCATTTTCTTCATTTACTTATTTTTCTAAAGCCAAACATGTAAATTTTTAACAGATTTGCTCAGATTATTTCCAGATTTGCAATTTTTCCCAAATTATTTCCCAACTACATTACTATTATTCAGTGAATTCTTACCTACAATGGAAGGTTTCAACAGTTCCAGGGATGGAGATTCTTGACCTGTTTCCAAACCTGATATCAAGCATTTCAAAATTACTTCGAATCCATGAACTGCAACATCTAAACTAGCCCTAGTATACCATGTTAATGCCTTTCACATCTTGGTTTCTCCCAAATATCACTAGGTTTGGTGCTGTAGTGATAGATTTGTTTTGGGTTTTGGAGCACAAGCAATCTAGGGAAGAAATGGGTTCTTTCTGTTGCTGTTCTCGTACCGATGACTTTGAGGAACACTAACGTATGCAACTGCAATGAGTTATTGGTGACATCAGCGGGGAAGGGTGTCATGGCGGTGGCAATGGGTGGTGGGTTGGGTTGCTTTGGTAGGATGAAGAAGTTGAAGAAAGTTCAACTTGTTATTATAAACGAGCCAAGTATAGTATACAAACATAATAACGTTTCTTCCACCTGACAGCGATTTTAATAGGTGGCATTTGAAATTGAAGATTAAGCAAGATGTTAAGCCACTCTGAAACCGCCAGGCCATGTAGATTATCCATTAAATATTGGATGGAACAAGTGGGCGACTGTAACAATTTACAAGGTTAATTGACCAGTTTGGAACAAATTAAAGTTCAGAGCTCGTTTGGTGCACATTAAAATGAGAGAATGCATTTTTTTGAAGTGATATGATGGGGAATATGTGGTTGAAAAAAAAAGAAATGTTATTGATGGGATGGAAAATATTATTTTATTGAAGAATGTGTGGTTGAAAATGAGTAGAAGAATGAGAATGAAAAAAATAATGTGGATCAAACAGGGGCTCAGTAACAAAAATGAAAATTTGGATCCAAGTTCAGTTACTAGTTGTCTTTTAACCCACTATTCTTGTTTTCATTCTCGAGGGCCTATTCTATATTGACTGCCATTTATTTAGGGCAAAAACTCTGTAGTTGAGTGGTATTCTGGTTCTTATATTCAAGAAATGTGAGCTAACACTGCCTACAGAAATACAACTAGATTTAACTCTTTAGACTGTTATTTCACCAACGGTTCAGTGTTCTTGTTCGTCTAATGTATTCGTTGTTGCAAATTATGCACTCACTTACTATAAAACTCTCCAGCAGATTAGATGATTGATGCTATCAAGGTTATTTATGATGTGTTTTTCTCTAGCAGCTTAAGTGAATCATAAAAAGTTGGTCATTGTGGAGCTTGTGGGTTATACTTTGGGATTTACTGTTAACTATTCATCTTTAGCAGAATTTGAAAGAATAATTCTCCTTGCCTTCATCCAAGAATCTCAGTTTCAAGTTCAATTTCCAATCTGACATTGGTAGGAGTTAAAGCATTCAAGTTTTCAACTACAAGACCAGCCCTCTGCTCATTCAACTAACCCACCTCAACAGGAATTCACTGCCATGGAAAAGACAAGTTCTCAAGATCAGTGTCCTTCATCAGACTCTGGTAATCATGCCTAAAGCTTCTTGTTATCATCATATTTTTTGATATTTTCTTTCTTATTTGATTCCATATAATGCATATGAATTACTATTATAATAGGTGCAAGTGCTAGGGTTTGTAGCCTGACTCCTTTTCATTCACACACATATATATATATTTTTAAAAAAATTAATTTAGTGTATAATAGGTATTCTTGCACTAAGATCACCCAAAATTGAAAGTTTTGAAATCCATATATTGCACAGAGTCATTGTCGAAGTTGGCATTTCGACAGTGGTGAACTCTTTTCGTTGTGATAGGAGGTTTTTTTTTTTGTAATTATTATTTTTATATTTTTTTATGAAAAGAGTGTTTCAAATTGGTGACTATGTTGAATATCCTTGGGATTTTCACATTTCAAATAAGTTTCTTGAACATAATTTAATTATTATCAAGTTCTATAAATTTATCTGAGCTCTTTATGAGATAAGTAGCCAAGTAGTCTTAATATAGCTATGAAAACTCGTGCTAGGAGAAACGATCAACCCCGTTGCTTCTTCCTCCTCTTCTCCCTTTAATTATTAGCTAGTTGTATAAATTTATATTGGATCTGAGCTATTATGGTTGACTTCCTTGCATCATAACAGTGATAAAAATTATTTTGCCTGATCCGAAAATATAATAAATTATGCATTATCATTTTATTGCAAGTGCCTTTAGTGCCATCGACAATATGCATTGTCAAAATTCACGAAATTTTCGATGTATGAATATACTAATACTTCCATAAAATTTAAAAAGTCTCTCCTTGTATTTTTGGAGAAAAATGAACCCTAGCATAAACTTTAAAAAATAATGACCTTTCATAACTTGATTTCTTTCTATGAAATTAATCCATAAGTTTCCCATCCCCAAATAACATGCTTAATCTGGACTCAAAATAAGAAAGATGTGAATTTTCAAGTTTGGGATGAAACTAGGGTTTTATGTGAAAATCTAGAAAATGGTGAAGAGGAACAGTGATTTTTTGGTCCCACTCTGATTGGTTTGTTTGTTGTCCCAAAACACTAGGTTATGAATGGATTTTGGGAATTTGACAACTCAATTGGACCTAGCATGTTGAGAAATGGTTAACAGAATAAAATGTTGCTGCCGCCACCATAAGAGCATCATCTTTGTGCATGGGCTTCATGCTGGCAGTACGCGCGTGAGGATACTCGTTAAGGCCTTCTGTGAAATGCTCCAAATATTCCTCTGGACTTTTCAGTAATTCAAAATATATTTTTGGGACATCAAAAATGTATTTTATACAAGTTTCCTAGTGAAAAATTCAAGTATATAACATTATATGCTTGCAGCAAGTAAATTCTTGAAAATTTTGTTTTGACTTCAATATAAATGTTTTATGGTTCTGTTACCTAATGGCAGTTTTGTGTTGCTGCGATGTGCTATTTATGGTTTTTGTGACTTGAAAATACCGTTAAAAGTATTTTTAATAGAGAGTTTTGTCAAAAAATTGTGATAAATTGTCAAAAAAGTATGATTTTTATCTCAAATGGAAGAACCTTACATGATGTGTGACACGGCACATCTCTTCAATTCTGTATATTGGTTAATGGTGAGGTTTAATGCCCCCTCCAGTGTTTGTATTTTCTCCTTGTATTCTGTTTTAGTATTAATAAAAACCCACCCATATGGTGGTTTGAATAGAAAAAAAGGTGCTGTCTGCTCAGACACTGTTCCATTGTACATAGTAGAATCACATTTTTGTGAAGTGCCTATATTGGGCTTGTTTTGACTTCCATTTTGGTTGTTGGGGACATAAATTGTCAAGCCCGTGGGTTTTTGTGTTCTGTGTCATGACGTCCATTAATCCATGATGGCTTATTATTCTTAATTAATATCTTCTATTTCTCCCCCGATGACGGTGAACTATATAATAAAATGGTTTTTCCTTTCCATTGATTCAGTACACAGTGAAAGCTATGGGAATCATGCACAAGACACGAAACCTGCTTTGTTTTTCGGCAGTCCAGATTTTCCCATCAGTGCACACTCTAAAATAAGCCAATCAACGGTAAGTTCATGCACCGCATTAATAATATTATTTTCTACTAACATGGAAGCAATTTTGACCAAGTTTGAGATAAGGCTTAGTTGAATTATGTTGGAACTGATTTTTATTCCTTTCATCGTATTACAGATGCAGGTTCCGTATGCTCATTCTGATTCCTACTTCAGTGGATTATTTACTGCCTATGGACCTCATACTCTGGTAAATATTTCATTCTTTCAGTTCAAATGTTTGAAATGATTTTATTTATACTTGTAATATGCATATAGGCATAGCCTTCTTTTGATATCGTACCATCAAGCATATAATTGGGTATCCGTGATGTGTGAGCTTTGCCTAAAAAGAAATAGATCTTGACCATGGAAAATTAGAGGGCTTTTATTTTCGTCTCTTTAAATCTGTTTTCTTTGCATATTTGGACTTTCGGTTAATTTACTAGTCAACAAAAAATAGCTCTTGTTATCGATTTTAATTCAATTCATTTTCTTCTTATAATGTTGTTGATTTTGAATTTTATTCATCAGATTCAGCCTCAGATGATGGGGGCATCCTCTGCTCGGGTCCCACTACCTGTTGATCTGTCTGAGGATGGTCCTGTATATGTCAATGCTAAACAGTATCATGGAATACTCAGAAGAAGACAGACACGTGCAAAGCTTGAGGCTCAAAACAAGCTTGTCAAAACTAGGAAAGTGAGTAGTATTGTGTTTCACCTTTATTGTTTGCTTGGATGAATTCTTTTTTCTTATATATGCTCACCTTTAGAATTACTGATTCTGAACTAGAAAGGTCAAATAGTAGAAGCGTATTCCAGATGTTCAAAGATGTCTTCAATTTCTCTTTCCTTTTTTAGTTTTTCATTTTCCCATCAAATATCTTTAAACTTCATTTATTAAATGTGAAATAGTTCAGTGAGTAATTCATAGCACCAATTTATTCCTGGTTCGAGGCTCGAGTCATTTCTATATTTAGTCCTTTAAGCAACAGATGTAAAGACTGGTGGGAGGGGGCAGCTATATAACTCAAGACGATGAACTTTGGCATTCACAAAGGAGAGAGATTTTTGATGGCTGGTGATTGAATCAAGAACATTAAATCATTAATTATATCTTCTTATTATCATTTGGTTTAATTTTGGATTACTGAGATTATTCTACTTGGCCTGTAGAAATAGTTAATATTTTAATTCATACAGACTTAGGAGGGGGGCTCGATCTTACCTCCTGGTTCTTGCTTGAATTAATTTAAAAAGACACATTTTTTTCATCGACTCTTAAACGTATCTATTTTCCTTGATGCTGCTCTATATACGACTTATCTTGCTGACTTGCTGTTAATTCGTCTCTTATATAATTACCAAGATATGCACTAACGTTTTATCAAATGGAAATTTTATCATTCTTGAATTTGATTATGTAGCCTTATCTGCACGAGTCTCGGCATCGTCATGCACTAAATCGAGTAAGGGGATCTGGTGGTCGCTTTCTCAGCAAAAAGCAGCCTCAGCTATCCGACTGTCCATACACTAATAGCTCCCAGGCTCAGGCTCAGGTTCAAGCTCACCTAGACTCCCTTCATTTCAATCAGATAGGAGATACGCTGAATGCTGATGCACATCAGATTAAAGCGAACAAGCATGACGTTCCCACTACAACCCGCACTGAAGGTACGAGGATCGCCAGTGCTGATGTCATTTTCCCGCTGGCAGAAGGAAGGTTCCCGTCCCACATGGCTGTTTCCATGCAAGGTGGTAGTAACCTTGTATACAGTGGAAATAGGCATTTTGCTTCCATTGTCCGGTAAGCAGTCGGAACTTGCACGACTGCCACCAGCTAGGCAATTCATCCTTGGCTTTATCAGTGAAATACCTGACAAGTATCTACTTAGGGCGTAAATTTATGTGGAAACGTTTGAAAGGTTCTAGATTTGGTACTCTCTCCATTTTCTGGTCTACTGGTTTTCTAACTGTTCTTTGGATTGGTTTCTAAACATTAATGTTTGTGTTATAAGGAAATTTTCTTTGTTTGTGCATTTTATTGCATGCATTATTCGTCTGGTGCTGCTGTATCATGTGTTGTAAGTGGAATACATTTATATTGAAATAGAAAGGCAGTTGCCGGAGTGGAGCGCATCAAACGGAACGGAGTAGAACAACATAATAAAATTATTTTTGGGTTTTTTTCCCCCTGAAGTTTTGTGTGGGCTAGGGTCAGCGTTTATGTCTATATATAGGGGTGTAACCCTATTATTCGTAAATAATAAAATCATAGCTGCTTCTCTCCCGTGGACGTAGGCGTACTACTGAATCACATAAATATTGTGTTGATTTTCTTTCTTGATGTCATATTTTTTTATTCACTATTGTTGCACAAAACACAACATAATGTAAGCTTAAAATCTGTACCCAAGCTCCCTGCTCTTTCTTCAACTTGAAAAGGGCTAAGCTAATTATAAGTGACGTCGTACTAAGGTTTGAAGGAGCGGCTGGATAATCTTTTTTCCAGTGAAACATCTTTGAAATTGAGCATTAAACTGTAGCATTCATTTTACTTTAACCCAACGTTCTAAAATGCATGTATATACTTCGCATATGCGGTATGCACGTGATAATGCGGTCAACCCATTTCATTTACAGCATATGCATGCTTAAACTTCAAAATGCACATGCATCTATGTTAAAAATTGTGTCAAAAATAGTATGACAAAGTCCAGTTCATTTTTGTAACTTGAAAAAGGAAATTGAGCTCAACAAAGATCAAATTAGCCTAAATCACTCAATCCCATTGATTATATACAGCAATCTATAGGGTTTCGACGTTTAGAAAAAAATTACAAATCAGAACAATTTTTTGTAGAATTGCAAACTATCTACACTGAGCCGATGTCTCATTCTTCTTCTATCTTACGCTAGTTTTACTAGCAAGTGATGCTAATAGTGCACAATCTTAACTTGTTGATGGTTGTGATGATGACGATGATGATGATGAGAAGGTTGCCAATAATAACTTATCATCTACAAGGAGTAATATAATTTTTGAGTTGAAATAAAAGAGCACGATGAAGATGATTTTGCAATAGGTGACACGGAAGATGACTTGGATGAAGAAGAGGTGATTGGATTGGAATCCAATAAATAGCTAGTTAAGAATTAGAATTTCTTACGTTGATGCTCGTGTCTAATCTTATTATAAAAACTGATTACCAAGTAATTATAGTATTTATAATTTTAAACAATAGTTTTTGTTGAAATTTTGAAGAGTAAGTATATAGTTCAAGTAATTGTAGTGTTAATAATTTTGTGCAATATATATTTATTTATTTTCAAAATTTGAAGAATATGTACAAAGTTCAAAGAATGCATTACTTTATTTATTTATTAGTTTAGAATATTTAAAATAATATTAAAATTTGGAAAATGCTTAATTAAGCACATGCTTCGCATAAGCACGCATATGCTTGTAATGCTTGATGTACGACCGAAACGCATCGCTATGTATTACTCATTTTAGAACATTGCTTTAACCACATCAATATACACGTGGTAAATTAATATATGAGATGCATAATATAGCATGAGCAGGTTAATAAGAAGACTGTTCCCACATTTTGCTTGAGTTTGTAAAATCAATTTTTCGTGTATTGTGTCAATGACAAGTCAATTATTTTTGGGGCTATTTTAGGTTTGGAAATTTAATAATGTTGTTTCAATATTCATATAGGTCAAGATTGAGTTGGAAAAAAATATGGATAACTTGTACGTGTTTAGTTGATAAACTATGATCTTAAAATCTAAACCAAATTCATGCAAAGTTGAAATAGTTTTGATAACAAAAATTTCCTTTTGTATAGGATCCAATTAAAGTGAGATAGTATTTTTTTTAAAAGTGCCTCAAATAATTTAATATTGAAAAAGATGGTGAACTATATATGTGAAGTTGAAGTTAGCTCTCTTGATTGATACTATCACATTTGTTTGTTTTTTTGCTCATTTTCTTGATATTGTTCTTTGGAGGAAAATTTAGTGATCTTGTTGTTCAAAATTCATGGATGGATAAATCAGAGATGAATGGAAAAAAAAGGAATACGATGCCATGAAAATGGCCTATGCGACTGCATAAGCGTTTTATGCATGTGGTCGCACAGGCACGATCAGGAAATTCAGAGACAGCCAGCCAAGGTTATAATTATGCGACTGCATAGTTATAGCCTTTGCGGTCGCATAGTTATAAAATGTGACCGGACATTTTTCTAATTTTCTGATGGTTGATTGATGAAGTATTGCACCTCTTGATTTGAGTTTGGAATCACTTCGTGAGGGATGATTGAAACCTATAAATATATGTTGTGCATATCAAAATATATATTGATTATTCATCCAATTTTTTGAGAATTTTTTTGTCCATTTACATAATCAATTTTTTTACTTGTTCATTTGAATAGTCACTTTACTTTTGGCGATCTTCATAATGCTTGTTTAATTCTACAAATTATTTGCCATTAAATCTTTAAAAGCATTATAAAGGAGGCAAACATTGCTTGAGGACAACGATATTATCTTCGTGTTCAAGACTTTACCGGCTTTATATTCATCATTTTCTTCTCCTTTGTTTTTTCTCCATTGTTGTATTTATTTTTTCATAACAATCTCAAATGATATTCTCACTTTACTGCGATGGAAACAGAAACTACACTTGCTACCATCAAGTTAATGAATCAAGATTTAGTGCGCTTAGATAGATTTGATGGATCAAACTTTACAAAATAGCAAGACAAACTCAAATTCCAACTAATGACATTAAAAATATTCTATGTACTTGATCCAAACTTGGAACCAATTGCCGATGCAACCGAAGAAGATACTGAAGAATTTTGTGCAGAAAGAAAGAAAAGGAAAGAGGACGAATTGATATGTCACGGTCACATTCTAAATGCTCTTTCGGATTGATTATATGCTCTTTACCCCAACACCACTTCAGCAAAGGAAATCTGGAATGCACTTGAAAGCAATTATAAGGCCAAGGAGGAAGGTACCAAGAAATTTTTAATTTCTAAACATTTCGTTTTCAAACTGCTTGATAATATTCCTTTGTTACCTCAAGTACATGAACTGCAAGTCATTGTCAACAAATTGACAGCGGTGAAAATCGATCTTCCCTAATCTTTCCAAGTGGGAGCTATTATTTCTAAACTTCCAGGAACTTGGAAATGATACAGGAAGAAGATTCTTTACAATTCCGAATACTTCTCTTTGGAACAAATTCAAAAATATCTTTGTATAGATGAAGAATCAAGTGCAAGAGATAATACTGAAAGTTCTTATGATGGCTGTTCAAAAGCCAATGTCGTGAACAATGTGGATAATTCCAACAAGTAAAAGAAGAAAGAGAAACCTCTTGGTCCCAAAAAGGATCAAGGAAAGTTCAAAAACAAATTCAAGGGACCTTGCTATGTTTGTGGAAAATCGAGACACTATGCAAGAGATTGCAGGAATAGGAAACAACAAAAGAAAGAAGAACAAGTAAATTCCATTGATTGGATTATCGCTACGGTGAGCGAAGTCAATGCAATCCAAGAAAAAGTTCCGGATTGGTGGTATGACACGTGCAACCATCCATGTTTTTTATGGTAAGTCTCTTTTTAAAACTTATTATAACATTGAAGATGGTCTAGAGATCCAAATGAGAAATGAAAGAAGATCTAAAGTGATTGGCAAAGGCAATATGAAACTCATTTTCACCTCGGGAAAGAAGACGACTTTGACAAATGTCCTTCATGTACCATAAATGAATAGAAACCTAGCAAGTGGAATTTTATTGAGAAAATCAGGAATTAAATCTGTATTTGAATATGAAAAACTAGTATTAACCCATAATGGGTATTTTGTTGGAAATGACTATTCTACTAAAGGAATGGTCAAACTTTGTACTTTTGAGTATGATTCTATTAATAAAAACAAATCATTTGTCTATGTTACTAATTCATTTACTTTATGGCATGATAGATTTCATACTTATGAGTTAGCACTATGAAAAGAATGATTAAATGTGGATTGATACAATGTGAAATTGATAATTTAGGAAAATGTAAAACTTGTATTAAATAAAAGATGATTAAAAAGCTATTTCATAGTGTAGTAAGATCAACAAGCATACTTGAACTTGTTCATTCCGATATATGTGAATTGAATGACATGCTAACAAGAGGTCGTAATAGATATTTTATTACTTTCATTGATGATTGCTCTAGGTATACTAGTGTATATTTGTTAAAGTATAAATATGAAGCTTTTAGTGCCTTTAAAACATATAAAATTGAAGTTGAAAATCAATTAGAAAGGAAACTAAAAACTCTAAGAAGCGACAGAAGTGAATAATATTTTTCTAATGAATTCAATATGTTTTGTAAACAAAATGGAATATGAAAATTATGTAGTTCGACCCTAATAATACCTAGAGGGGGGGTGAATATGTGTACATGTGGAATTAAAATTATTAATTAATTAGTAACATGTCACCAATTAATTATCTCTAGATGATTAAACATGCGAGTCAATTTGACCTATGTTTAAATACCGCAGTTAATATAATCAATAAGGAAAGCAGTAAAAACACACTGTATGATCACGGAGAAACCCCAACTGGGTAAAAACTCGGAGCACTTTGCCAGTCAATAATCCACTATAAAGGATTTATAACTTATAGCCTACCAAACTAGGCGACAACACGCACTATCTTATCTCCTGACTGCAATTCCAACAGCTTTCCTGGATTCTGTGCTCCTGCACCATTCCCAACTGCAGTTTC